TGCAATTGTTGTCTCCCCTACTACACCCGTTCTACAGCCACATTTCCCCCGGGTAATCTCCACTCTCTAGTTTCCATATCTTATTTGCCTCCTGGCATGCCCTCCCCTCTCCAGATCCTAGTTAAACAATCTACAACTGTGGTAAGTTCATGTCTCTTATGTGCAAGCATTGTGCTGCTCATTTCCTGGCTATCTGTAGGTCTTGCAGTGGTCCCCCTGCAAAACCTAAAATTGAATGCGTCAAAAACGCTGCAAATTGCAACGCGGTGCATTCCAATTTCCAGTGCACAGTCAATTTCTATATGAACCCTAAGGGCCCGCTCACACAAGATGCAGTGCGTTCCAGCACGATTCTGGCCAGAACACACTGTCTCACATTGCGTCTGGCTCACTTGTTTGTCGGGCAGGAGGGGGCCCGCGGCCCGCACAGGATCGCAAGACACATTATGCCTGCGGTCCGGTGTGATTAAAAAAAAGTGCTTGCAGCATTTTGATCGCACCCGACCGCAGGCATAATGAGCCTTGCGATCCCGTGCGCTTGGTCGCATTGCGGCCAGAGGGTGTGGCTACGGTGCCATTTACTTCAATGGCCCGCCATGCCCCCTCCTGCTCGACAAAAAAGTGAGCCGGCCGCAATGCGAGGCAGTGCGTTCTGGCCAGAATCTGGCCAGAATGCACTGCATCTGGTGTGAACGGGCCCTAACACTTTCTTCCTGCACCAATGTTTCACTTATTTAACTCCCAAGCTCCATTCTTCTCCCTAGTTTTGTGCAAGGCGCTTGTAGTAAAACATATGAAATTAGTACCTTGGAGGTCCTGCATTTGAGTTTATTTCATAATTCCTAAAAACCATTTCAGAGGACCTTACATCTTCCCCTTATTATCATTCGTTCTGGTATGTACCATATGCAAACACAACTCAAATAGTACATGCTTTGTTCAGAGAAATAGCTTTGTTCATGCTTTGTTCAGAGAAAAAACACAGCCTCAAAACTGTCATTAGCACTGTACCATTGGGGGGAATGGTGAATCTGCTGACCTGAGTATGATGTGCGTTTCAACCGCATGTCAACAACACCCCTCTACAGAAGTCCTAAATCTGTTTGCACCACATTGCAACACTAGTAAATCAATAAAAGAAAACTTTTTTAATAAGTTTGCAACAGATTTCTGATCATGCTGTTCATTGTACCAAATGGCTAGCAAAGGCGGAATTAAACTAGAAATTACTCTTGTGGTTAGGATACCTCAAAAACCCAATTTTAGCTTCCTAGCCTCCACCCTAAGAATGCTGCTGGGAGTAATTCAACCTCGAAATGCACCAGCGCTGGAAAGCAGAACAGTGAATCTGCTTTATATTGCATCATAAAGTTGTTTTGTTTGTTTTCTTTTTATTATTATTAAAATTTGAACCGGGCTTTAAAGGAGAACTATGGGGTTAAGGCTTTTCCCAATAGTTCTCCTTAGGGTAACGGGAGGACACAAACTAGCGTCATCCCGTCACCCTAAGCTCAGTATACCGCGAGCTGCAGCATGTAAATGTAAACTCAATCAGTTAAATCTCAAAAAGCTTTATTATGTTAATGTGATTTTAGAAGTAATTTTTAGTATTTTTTTTTATTTGTGGCTTTCATGAAAGCAATACTCAGTGATCCTACCATGAAGGCCATTGTTCAGGCACTTCCTGTTATAGCTTGACAATGATCTGTCCCTGTCTCCCAGTTCTCCTCCTGCATTGTCATTCTGTGACAGGGGCTTTGGATGGAGACTACAAGTAGCTGATTTAATAAACCGTACAAAGGCACGGTCAGCTGTTGTCACCATCAGGGAACTGCCCAGGAAAATGCTGTGCAGCCATCAAGACAGCATGTAGAGTTGAAGTAGCTCTACAGAGTCTGCAAGAGACCAACAGCACAAAAGATAAACAAAAAAAATGTATTTAAAAATATATAGATTAAATTGTTTACACACAGTGCTTTATCAAATTAAATATTTAGTTATGGTTAGTTTCTACCTTAGTTTTGTTTAGTTTCTACCTTAGTTTTGTTAGCAACAGTCGTCTTGAAACTGCAATGCAATTTAACTTGTCATCAGAATTGTTATTCTTCGTGGGGAGAGAGTCAGCCAGTGTTGGGATAGGCAGAACAGCAAAATTAAATTTTGAGGCAAGTAGGTAAAAGGAGGATAATATTTAGGCTGTCAATAACTTTGGGACCCTATGGGAAAAATGGACCCTGGGCAGGTGCCTAGTTCCCCAATATTGCCAATGTTCTTCTGACATTGCTAGTTGCCTGTCTTTGACTGTAATTCATAGTCATTATCATGTACCTGGTGGGAGACCAGTAGGACGAAGAGGCTTCTCTTGCATCTCGTGTTCTGCACCCCCTGGAGTTGGGAACAGGGCGTGTGGAGGACAGCAAGGGGCACGAGTGCCAGTGGATAGTCCGGACACCGTGCAGTAGAAGATCAGGTTTGTCAGACGAAGCCAGAGGTCAAACCAGGCGGGCAGCAAAGTTCAAAGCCGATAGGCAAGGCAGAGTCCAGTAATCAGGAGGTCAGGAGGCAGGCAGCGAGCAAGAAGAGTCAACGCAATCCAGGTCAAAAACGAGCAGCAAGCAGTCAGGCAGTGTAACGGGTCACAGGAAGCACAAGCTGAAGACCATCAGCAACCTGGTTAGGGCAGGTTCATTTATATAGACCAGTCCATTAAAGTGACAGCATCACTTCCTGTGTGACGTGTGCAACCTTCCGCGCACTTCCAGTTGCGTGCCTTTGCGCACACTTCCTGTTGCACGCATCTGCGCACTAGAGCATGTTTCCCAGCAGTATGAAACATAGGCTCACGCGCATGCACGGGAGCCATCTTTACCTTTACAGTCATGAATTTAGAAAACATGCAGCAACTAAAGCTAGACTCAGCATATTTTTTTTTTACTGTTGTTAAACATTAAATGCAGCTCCGGATGTTATACCTGCCTCCTGCCTGGCACTGTATTTGCTTTTTTTTTTACCACTAGGTGTCCTCAGTCTTCGGGGTTAAATAATGGCCAGCATCATTTAAACCCAGAAGACTAAAGACTTATTGTGAGTGCAAGGTGTCGTTCACCTGTCCCCTTAGTGGTGCCACAGTGACTCCCTCTACTCCTAGAGTGCTGCTCACTGGGTCATTAAGGACGGCCCGCTGACAGAAGAAGATCTGAAAAGGAGAGAGAGACTTTTTGTTACTTACTGTGTACCTTCTAAGATTTTCCTTCTCCTTGTTTTGTTTGAAACCTGTTAAATAGACAGGAAGTGAGAGGAAATTTCCCCTGTCAGGAACTGTGCCAACTATATTCAGAACTTAAAAAATACAAAAAAATATTTTGACTGGAGTAGAGCTTATTTTGTGCTTTATTCTGCCAGAAAGAACTGGAAATTCACTTCCCCTTTCAGTGTTGGATAAATTAAACTCTGGCACTTGTCTTAGCGGAAAAAATGCAGACAGATTTAAAGTGACACTGTGCCCATCTTCTTGTCGTTCTGTCAGAAAACCCTGACATAACGGTTGTCACAATAATGTTTTTCAAGATAACTAGCCTTTTCATTTATACAGCTCCTGACAGAATATTAATGTGTCTTGTGCATTTTCTTTTTCTGTAAATGACATATTTTTTGTTGAATTAGATCTATACACAGTCATGTTGTGTTATTCAGTTTATCAGTAGGAAAATAGTGCCTTTACTGATCCATAGGGAAACCAAAAGTCAAGGCAACCCAGCAGGTTCACCATAATTGTGAGGGGATGTGGCTAAAGCTGGTGAACAGCAATGGGTGAATATTAAAAAAAACTGCTCCGCTGGTGATTACAATCTAACAATCTGCCCTGCAGGTAATAGAGTAATGAAAGGGTCTTTGGACTCCTAACATGTTTATTCAGGGAGCTTATGTTCCTTTCTAGAGTTCAGGATCACACTTTCACTGACAGTCCTTCTGTCATGAGTGAGCAAGTCCTGTTGGGATTCAGCTGTTGTTGTTATTATTGCGGATTGCAGTGGGGTTTTTGCCAGCCTATGGCATCACTACCCTGACTAGAAAGTACTCTACCTAATATAACTTTATTAGCTGCTACTTATTAGTTAAATGACATTTCAAATGGGAATATCCTGCACCACAATCTTCTCCATACTCTCTGCTAGTCACAGTTGCATCCCCAGTTAATTGGTTCACTTCCTTGTGGACTTCAGTGCCCGCCCTTGGTGATGGAGCATGATCTCCCAGAGAAAACTGGAATAGAGATACCATGGATCCCTTTACCAATTCTCCAAAAGGAGATTGATTCTTGCAGCAGGCAATCTGTGTAAAACCTCTATTTACCACAAACTGTTTGACTCAAGTTTAATGCTGGGTTAATTTGAATTGATCTGTTCATGCCTGTTGCTAAATATGGATGGTGGCATGTTGAATATGACAGAGAATCCACATAAGGTAGACATCTGTAATGAACCTTGAAGGGAAGACTGAACCATTTTTGTATAAGAGTCTTCATCAGCCTATGGTCACCAATGGCACTATTCATTTGCATTTTTACCAGTTTAAGTATTGTTGGCTTCATTATGATAGTTGTTGTTTAAGGAACAAACCATTATAGACAAATTACTCGTAATTTCAATAAGCAGAAAAATCAGTCCACAGTTTACAAAGAAAGACTCCTGTGGCTAAAATCTTTAACTGCATTACTCAATGTTAGAAATTGGGCTGGAGCATTACTTTTTTTTCTTTTCTTTTTTTAAAATAAAATCCTATTAATTAGGGAAGAAAAGATGTTTTAATGTGTGTGTGTTTTGGTTTTTAGCTTCTTAGTGAAAAACCAAATTACTGATCTAACTATGTTAAATAATATCACTTCTGTGTTGGAATAAAATTGCATTTGTTCATCTGTGAAATTTTATGTTTTTACCCTCAGAATGTTGGATATTTGTAACATGTATATTCTAACATATTTGTTCTTCTCTGCCTTTCAGCCAGTACCCATTGATGACAATTTCTGTGGTCTGGATATTAACCAACCCTTGGGTGGACTAAATGTGGTGGAAGGAGTTACATTGTATACAGAAAGCAGAGACAGGATGACCTCTCTGACCTCCTACATCTACAACAATTACAGCGTGGTGTTTGTGGGGACCAAAGGTGGAAGGATTAAAAAGGTATGACCTACTTTGCTAATGTCCAGGATATTGTCCTAAGATTTTTATTTAGCTATTCACACAGAAAATATTCTCATGTAACTTTAAATTTTAATTCCTAGGTTTAGGAATTCCTATAAAATGTAATTAATCTTTGTAATTGGTAAGGACAGCAAATTTTTGTGTGTGAAGATATGTATAGTGATATGTATAGTGTTCAAAAAACACTACACATATCTTGGGTAAAGAAATTAAGCAAATCAAAATCTACCCTTTAAAATAAAAAATATCTATCTTAATAACCATTTACCAAATATGAGCAAGTGCATATATGGTGAATTTTGTCACTGGGGATCCTTGCAGACAGCACGTGGAGTAGGCGGGGCAGATGAAGGAGGGAGGGGGACCCAAGGCTACACTGCAGCGAGTCTGGAAGGTGGGCACAGACGACGGGACGTGAAGGTAATGAGAGAGCTGCGTGGGGAGAGCTGCTGGACACGCAGCAGCTCTTAGCGATCAATGTCAGTCACAGTGACGAAGATCATTGGGGAGGATCCCGACAATCTCTCCTCATTGCGGCGCTTAGCCCCGCCCAGCATGTTAAAGAAGGGTTTACAGGCTTAGGGTGCATTTTGGCTTATATATCACATGACTGACTCTCCTCCAATCACATAGCTAGAGTAGAGAGAACTCCTGCTGGATTGAATACACACTGTCGGACAACTTTTTGAATTCGGATTGGATACAGCATGTATAGTCCAGTGGTGCATAACAGAGAGTGGGTAGTGATTAGCCACTCTCCATTATAAATGAGCCCCTGAATATCATCCATAGCTTGCACTGAGCACAGGACTCGCTGTGACCTTCAGTCCCTCATGGTTTGAATCTTATCACAGATCAGACTCCTGTGACTGGCCAGCACTGCAGAGAGGACAGGAGATAGACTGATGGGGAAAAAGATGATGACATTGCTCCATGGTCGCTGTTGGCAGAACTACTTGAGAAAATTCCGAGAGATGTGGGGAGGGTTTCAACAAACCACAGTTGTAGAGTCGCTGCTGTCACTGATTTATGAGGGTGGAATAGATGCTGGAATTAGCAGCGACTGGAAGGATTATTAACCCTTAGTATTTCAGTTTTAGAGACTACTGTCGGGATAATAAATGTTATTATTAATGAATTTCCAAAGCAAAGGGGCTTTTCCAACTTTAACTGTTGAACTGTTCCAGTTTGGAAAGTGAAACTGGAATTGGAGCTTTATGATACATGTTTTATATCCTGAAAAAAAGCTTTGAGATTGGACTACAAAGGGTTAATATCCTACCTGCATAGGTGTAGCTAATTGTGACCATAACAAAATGTCCATGTATTTAATAATGCATTATTCATTTTGCTTTAAATATTCTGTTCAACTTTTGGAAGAGAAACAAGTTTGAATTTTCAAAACTAAGGAAAATGTTTCCTATCAGTTAATGCTTCTTGATCCATGATACATTTTTAACACTTCAAAACTGACTTGTGGGTAAAGGAAGATTTTTGTGTGAGAAACCATAAGGGCAGGTTCTGGAACGCAGTGCATTGCATTTTGCCGTGTTCTTGCCACGACTTTACCGCGCTCCGTAGCTTTTTTTTCTTTGCTTAAAATGGCTTTCATGTGCGTTCCAGTGCATTTGTATGCATTTTTGATGCGTTTCCATGCTTTCCAGTTCATTTCAGATCAGACAAAATTAGACATTCAGTATTTTTCTGGTCTGGAGTGAACAGAGGCCATAAATAGCATAGGGATACATTAGGATGCATTTTGGGTCCTGAAACAGTCTGGTCTGGAAATGATCTGGATGTGGTGTGAATGAGCTCTAAATCTATAGTAATAATTATCTCAGGCCCTGTACACAGGAAGAGACATCTTGGTTTATAAAGTAGAATAGCATTTTTATTTTATAAGATCACTGTGTTGCTGTATGGGATTAGTTAGGACTGATGATTGATTTGCTTATATTTTGCCTCCCATGGTTCTTCCCTTCCCCTTATCAACATACAATTGAACAAATAAAGACAAACATTTGATGCTCATTATTTACCTTATTTCATATCCACTACGTCTCTGTCTATCTCTGTGCAATGCAGACCAATCATGGCTGGTGGAGGGGGCAGAAGGGTGCTATACATAACGTCTTAAAAACATCACAGCAGGACTCAGGACTCTTGTCAAAAGCCCTCAATCCTAATTCAAGCAGTAGGCTGGCGCTTGGGAAGGGATAGGCAAATGCCAAAATTCTTGATAAGTGGATGTCAGTCTGGAGGAATAGGTGTACTTAGGCAGCCTGCGTTTGCATGCTGACCACACTATGTAATGCCAACATGAGATGCTGAACCTCCACAGTATGATTGAGAAAACTGAAATCCAATGAATCACAGAGCTGGTTCAGGCACAGTAAAGGTGGCCATAGACTGTGCAAATTTCGGCCATTACTTGAGGAACTGGACGATAATTCACACAGTGGGTGCCACTGTTGGCACCCTTTCAGCCTGCATCCCTCAATCAGCTGACTGTCAGAATACAAAAGAAACAGTGGGGATTCCCCACAGCATTGATGGAGGAATCTACTCAATGTTATCAACAAAATGTGCGATGGTAAGGGCTGGGTGATGCTGGGAATCTTCTACTCAGGAAATGAGGCAAGCTCTGTCTGGCTTGCTGCAGCTTCTAATGCACACCATGAGAAGTTCACAAAGTACAATGAAATCGGTGAGCTATTTCAGTACAGAACTTTCTCGTTAAAACAAAAATGAAAAACAAAGGGCTCTAGTTAATAAAAAGAGTTCATACTCACGCTTCTGACTTCTACACATTCTAGACTTCTACTGCAGCAACTAATATTTATGCCCATGTAAGTCCCTGGAAGTTTGATAACATTTGGTGCAGATAGATACATCAGGGTTAGCCCTGAGAAACCTTGTCAGAGATGGCATTCTCAAACTCTTGTAATAAGTAATATTTTTGTTGTACATTAAGCATGTAGTTCAATTGAAACAACATTAATAAAGACACGTTTTCCACTGATCTGTTTACAATTGTTAGTCATAATTGACGTAGAAGTAAGGAACAAATGTTATAAGGCTGCAGATTGCTGTGGATTTTAGCTAGTTGTATTTTGATCACATGTACAGTTGGTAATATATGCATTAACCAGTTGACATCCGCGGTGTTAAACCCCCTTCCCATCCAGGCCATTTTTCAGTATTCAGCGCTGCGGTACTTTAACTGACATTTATTCCGTCATGCAGCAGTATCCCTGGCATAATGTGTAATAGTTGGTTTATTAGTACATGTAAAACTTAAATAGAATTTGAGATTGCTATGCTCCCTGACACTTCCTTGTTAAAGTGAAGTGCTCCTAGAGAATTACTTACAGGCTGCCATGGTCCCGGACACTGCCTTTTGTGAGAATGCTGGGCTCCTACAGAAAATCCCTTAAACATTAACAATACATTACATGTAATTTATTTATCACAGGTATTTATATAGCGCTGACAATTTACATAGCATTTTACATACTGAACATTCACATCAGTTCCTACCCTCAAGTAGCTCACAATCTTAAGATCCTTATCACACACATACGTACAGGGCCAATTTTAGACAGGAGCCAATTAACCTTCCAGCATGTCTTTTGGAGTGTGGGAGGAAACCCACGCAAGCTTTGGGAGAACATGCAAACTCCTTGATAGTGCCCTGACCGGGATTCAATCTGAGGACCCCGGTGCTGCACGGCAGAAGTGCTAACCACTAAGCCACTGTGCTGCCCAATTGTGCTCTTTGATTCTCACATACATGTACAAATCCATTTTCTATTTGTTTTTCTTTTTTTTTTTTTTTATCTGTACCAGATAAGGATTTTTGTAAAAAAAACATCTCATCTGGTGCTGCATATTTTTATATGGAGATTCTGAGTCAAGAACGCGGGTATTATGCTACAATTAAGCAACTAGTAGGTTAACTCCTGTCAATTTACAAATGCTTGCTTACTGACTCATTAGAGTGCTGCTACTGCATGTCCACAGTGACATCTTGGTAGACAGATATATCTAAGCACTAAGCCGTTAGACAGCAGAGAGTCCCTGGGGCTACGTAACAGCATTTGTTTGTAGCTATTACTTTGATGAATCATGAAAGGCATCATTCTTTTCTGTTGCCATCACAGAAAAGAGTGATACCAATGGCTAAAGTGCATAGGGCAATAATTGCCAAGCAGATCCTCTCCTGTCTACTGTTAGTTTCTTTCCTCGTGAACCAAGCGGACCTGTCTATTTATTTGTACAGGTATCTGTCATTTTGTTTTCCACACACAAGACTGTTCCTTGAAAAGAATATATATAGAGAGAGAGAGACTGTATATCTAAGATACCTGATGTTAACCAGTTATTTGTAAAATAAAGATTTTCTATGAATAGTAGTGTATGTGTGTATCTGTCACTTTTTATTCATTTGAAAACCATATACATTTATTTTAAATATATGTTGCATACCCCCAACACAAAACCCAAATAATATTGCCATGTAAAATAGCGTGAACATGGAGGCTGCCACAGCTAAACATGCCTTTTGAAACGGACTGTTACTCTGTCTCTGTGTCTCAATATTTTGGGATGCTGACCATAATCAACTATGCAAACAATAACTTTGAATTTAAAACAAATCTTCTTCTGTATATTCCAGTTCCATTACTTACTATGTATTAAAGTTTCTGGATCAGCATAAGGGCCTGTGATGACAAGATTGTGTGCTGTGTTGATGAGTGTGCTTTTGACAACAGCTTGAGATGCTTCTGAGATTATTCAGAATATAGTGCATGTGTATTTGAACCACCTCCTGACCCGACTTTGCTTCAAGCTGCATTGCATTCCCATAGAAAAAGCTAAGAGCTGATCAAATAATATTTTCAGTGGTCACCAATAGTATTTCTCTCATGATAGGTGTATTTTAAAATTGATGATAGGTAATATGCCAGACAATTATG